ATCGTCTCGTGAAAAATAACAATGTGACACGACTGAAACCATAGATGAGGAAATATCTTATCCCTGAGGGTTGAGTGTCTTTGGAATTTGCTTCCTCAAAACACAGTTGATGCAGAATCATTAAATACTTTAGGAGGTAGGTGGATTCTTGATTTTCCAGCGATTGAAATATTATCATCAGGGAATGCAGGAATGTAGAGTCGAGTCAACATCAGATCAGCCATGATCTTAGCGAATGGCAAATCAGGCTTAAAGGGCCGAGTAGCCGAGTTTTGTTTGTAATCAAACAAGAGAGATGTCAAACTAGATCATAAAGGGTAGTAACTATATGAACAAGCATTAACAGGACAACCATGTATCAAACATGTTAAAAATGGGTACAATGGTCAAGGTTCAGAAAAGATTTACAAGGATGTTACCAGGATCAGAGAGGTTGAGCTATAGACAGAGGCTGAATAGGTTGAAGCTATTTTCCCTGGAGCATAGGAGGCTGAGGGGTAACCTCATAGGATGTTTATAAAATCATGATGGGCATGGATAGGGTGAACAGACAAGGTTTTTTTCCTAGGATAGGGGAGTCCAGAATGAAAGGGCATAGGTTTAAGGTGAGAGAGGAAAGATTTAAAAAGGGACCTCAGGGGCAACTTTTTCCACACAGAGGGTGGTGCGTGTGGGGAACGAGCTGCCAGAAGACATGGAGGAGGCTGGTACAATTACAACATTTAAAAGTCAGAAGTCACACAACATTAGGTTATAGACCAACAGGTTTATTTGAAATCACAAGCTTTCAGAACGGAGCTCCTTCATCAAGCGAAGTGACACCTGAAGAAGGAGCAGCACTCCGAAAGCATGTGATTTCAAATAAACCTGTTGGTCTATAACCTGGTGTTGTGTGACTTATGACTTTGTCCATCCCAGTCCAACACCGGCACCTCCACATCACAGACGACATTTAAAAGGCATCTGGATGGGAACACGAATAGGAAGGATTTAGAGGGATATGGGCCAAATGCTGGCAAATGGGACCAGAGTAATTTAGGATATCTGGTCAGCATGGACATGTTGGACCAAAGGATCTGTTTTTTGTCTGTTTCTCTATGCCTGTTAGACTCCAACCACCTCACGATTTACAAGGAATGAAGTTTTACCTCCAATTTCACTCCATGAAGGTTGTCATCATGCTCCTTCGTGTACTGCTCCTCGGAGTTGTCTGCAACTGGCGACCGAGGTCTTGCTGAAGTGGTTACAGACGTGAGGTCTCCTCGGGATATAAGAGTGCACATGTACGCATCGTGTGAGAAGACATCGTGGCGGATGAACTCACAAAACAACAGCACTAGGTTCACAAACTCTGCTTTCTCATTTTCATTGTTGAGGTCAGCTGGTGCATATACAGAAAAACAGGAAAAAGTGAGGAGCCAAACCTTTTGTAGAATTTGTAAGTCAAACTTGAAAAATTCAACCACGTAATCTTTGCATAGCAAGCACACACTTCACAAATGAGTACAAGTTCACCCCACATTTTCAACTACTGTACATTTGAACGCTGTTTATGTTCTACTGGAACAGTTAAATGTAAACAAAATAGTGTAGTTGCTGGAAAACTGAAATGAAAACAGAAAAGTGCTGGAATGTACCCAGTAAATCGGTCAGCATCTATACAGAAGGGATATAGAGTAAATGTTTCAGGTCCATAACCTTTCAAAGCTAGAGGAAGGTTTTAAGAACGGACAGGTTTTAAACAGGTACATAATCAGAGGGTGAGGTGGGGAAAGGAACAAAAAGACAAGGACAAAGATAGGCTGGGGGACAACAGTGGTTAAATGGCATGGTGTAAAGGCACAATGCAAAAAGCAAGAGGGTAAAAGATCAAGTCAAGTAAAGAAACAAGAATGGATACAGGAGATGTAAATACTTCACACAGACTCAGAAAACAAATGGAAACAGCAGCCATGACCCAACATTGTTGAACTGAACATGGAGGCTGTAACATGCCTCAAAAATGAGGTCCTTAAACTTGATTTCAGCATTCATGAACGTGTCCAGGAGGCCAAGAGGTCACAGTCCGCATGGAAAGGGGAAGTCAAGGTTAAATATCTCCCAAGCTGGAGCAGAAGCAGAAATCCACACTTTGACAAACAAATAACAAAGCTACCACCGAAGTTCAAATGATGTAACTCCAGTTCTCCGATTCAACAAAAGTTTGGAAAATGGAATGAAACACAACAACTGAAACAAATTTTATCCAAATGAAAGCAACAAAAGGGCATAATAGGATATGTCAGGAACATTTCTAAACCTCCCCTGTGCCTTGTCTGTTACGAAAGCAACAATTAATGGAAGGGACACATGGCATCTCAGGTTTGTGAGCCAAACGTGTAATAGTGCAGAACATGTTTGTAAAACCAAGCAGGCCAGGTAGCAGCTTTACAGGGCAATCTAAGCTGACATTTCAGGTTAAATGAGCTTTCACAGCATTTTCAGATCCATTCTATTTTGCTTACATGAGCTCCTTAAAAATGTTTTCTCCTCCTCTTCCTGAAATATTCAAACTAAAAACTCAACTCTGTTTGAGTCAATCGAGACCTGCAATCTAGTGTAGATCTGGTCATCGTCCTCTAGAGTCAAAGTAGTACAGCTTGGAAACAGGACCTTCGGCCCAAACAGATCCATGCTGACCATGGTGCCTACTCAAGCTAATTCCAATTGCCAGCATTTGGTCCATATCCCTCTAAAGGCTTCCCATCCATGTACCTATCCAAATGTTTTGTTTTAATGTTGCTATCGTACCTGCATCAACCACATTCTCTGGCAGCCCATTCCATATACACGCCACTCTCTAAATGAGGAAATGAAAAGCAACAGCATCTGATTGAGGAGAAACCTGATTCAGTCTTCACCCAGAGGTGAACTTACTTGGTAAACTAATTCACAAGAACCACCTATTTGATGTTTTCTCAAGCCACTTGAATGAAGCACTAAAGCATTAACACACCATGCGACAGAGTGGAGGCAAAGATCACAGTCATGATTGTTAAATAGAGACAAAAGAAAGCTGCAGATTCTGGAGACCAACAGGAGGCTGGAAGAACACAGCAGGCCAGGCAGCATCTGGAGGAAAGGAGCAATCAATGTTTCGGGTATAACCCTTCTACACGACTGGATGTGGGTAACGTCTCAGGCGTTGACTGCTCCTTTCCTCCAGATGCTGCATGGCCTGCTGTGCTCTTCCAGCCTCATGATTGTCAAAGTCCTAATTCCACTGATACTGCTGTAGGGGACTTGTCCAGACAAGACTGAAAGCCTGAATTTCCTCAGGCTTTTCTCAATTTCCCACTATAACTTCGGGATCATTGAGGTAAGTTGTATTTTTAACAATGTTATTTCTCCAGGGCTTCTGTCACTCTCCCAACTGATAGAAATTCCAGATATTGGTCTCGGTCCACAAGGGTGAAACAATTAGCCCAGGATGTTTCACCTTTTCCAGCACTCTGATCCAGGTCAGCGCCGTGTGCAAAGTGACGGATGCTCCTGGTGCCTCAAATGCACATAAATATAGCCTGGTTCAAGTAAGAGGTGCCTTTGGTTTGTTTGGATAGAGTCAAACTCCAATGTTTGTTTGTTTCTCTGACACGCTACCATACAGTACTGAACTGCGTTCGTGACTGTGTATATATGGAAATACATTATGCAAAGTTTATTTTTAAAAATATAAAACGCTTTGTGCAAGATTTCACCATCCACCCCACCAACTCCCACCGTCTCCGAGATGGATGGAGACAAACAGGAATGGCAGAGACAGTAACCAAAACATACTTAATACAGGAGCTTGAGTATCCAGAAACCTGAGCAGGATATTCTGAAACACAGGTAGGCTCGAGCCAGTTAGGGACACAGAGGAAATCGACTCCTTTTCATCCAGGACTTCTGACTCTCCGCATCGCTACAAAATAAGTGCATGAGCAAGTGAGTAGATAGCATTTGTGTAGTGCAGTTTTTCACTGTAACTAACTTACTTTCAATGAGCAATTTTCTTTCATTTTGCAACTATCAAAGTTGATCTGGAACACGCTCTCGGATACCCAATACTGCACTCCTTTCTGAATTTTCAAAGAATATTTTCCAACAAACTTGAAAAACTCAGAAATTCTGTATGGATTAGTTGGTGTGAAAAACAAATGACAGTTGGGCTGATGCAGTAACTTTTGAGGCCACAGCCAAAGCTGTGGGACGTGGTTGGTTTTTACCAATATGGGAGTGTCTGATGTTAACAGCAACTGCTCAAAAAGACTAACAATTCTGTTGTCTGACATTACATTATCCTAGTGTTAGATACAAAACAGTAATATTCCACACATTCAAACAGAACAGAGATTTTTTCCACAACTGGTTCTGAACAAACATACCTTCCCAGGAGGTTAAATAGGCTTGCCAACAAAAAAAAAACGATTTTTCTCATTTGTTGCACAGGGGATTGACTAGCTTTAACTCCCGACATTTTATGCTTGTTCCTGGATTTCAGACCAACTACTCACCTCTGCCTCGAATTCAGCCTGCCTCTTCTCCAGGAGTTTTGCTACTGCCATCGCTCTGTGCTTTCCACACCGTTTACAACTCACTGCCCACTCGCACAGTAAAGTCACAACTGCCTCATCATTCGGTGCAATTTGCTGTGGGCAAGTGGGGAAAAAAAAAACTCAGACATTGTGCTTGCTGACAACATCAATGACTCATTTAAAATCAGAGTTTTCCCAGCAATTTCTGTTACATTTCTGATTTCCAGCATCCAGTGTTCTTTGATTATTTTAATTTTACAAATGTGGAACAAGGGGATGGGAGAAGGTATAAAATCTGGATTGGATGGGAGATGGCAGTCAGGGGGAGTTGAAAAAGGAAGATACCTTACACAGTAAATAACTGCTCTGCACAAATAATTACGAGCCACTAGTCCAAATCAAATAGCAAGCCTTCCTACACTGTAAATATGGCATCTGAAAAGAATTGGGGCTTATTAAAGGATTTATTTCGGAACAGTGAAGGAAGTGTTCTGATTAATTCTGGTTGGAATAATCTGAAAAGTTGCAATGGAGCGTTGTGTGGTCTAAAAAAGTTTTGCTGATGCCGAACAGAAAAACGTACATGACAGCTGTGCGAGTAACCGTGCTATTAGATACCACCAGAAAGAGACAAACAATGACTGGACACTGAAATGAGATCTTAAAATGTTGAAATGGATGTATCAAGTGATAAGGTCATAGATGTACTGAAGAAAGTGAACAAGAAAAACAGTACTTCTGCAATGCAAAAACCAGAACTAGAAACTCGAGGATCTTGTGATGCAGTGGTAATGTCCCTATCTCTGGGCCAGGAGATCCAGGTTCAACTTCCACCTTCTCCAGAGGTGTGTATTAATATCTCTGAACAGGTTGATTTGAAAACACTGAATCACAAACCTAAATAGTTAAGTTGGCAGATGATGCAAAAGTAAAGCGAGGAAGTTTTGGAACTGAAAAATACATCAAATTGTTGAATGAATTAGACAAAATATCTGCGTGGACAGAAAAATTGAAATTGAAATTTAATACAGAAGGGTGTAAAATCCTCTAAAAGTCCTTAACATAATCCCCACACACCAGGCCTGGTCATCAATGGGCTGCTATTATGAACAATTCATTGTCAGTTACTAATGGTCCCCATTAGCAGCTATTGTTCCCCCAGGCTGACCTTTACCCATTCCTTTGTCTGCCCAACTGCTCTTCTCTCGCTCTCTCTCTCTGAGCTCCATCTCAACGTATTGTTTACTCCTGTCTCCACCTCCCAGCTTCAGGATAAATACCAACCTTTTTCCAGCTACTATCAGTTCTGAAGAAGGGTCACTGGACCCAAAACGTTAACTCTGCTTTCTCTCCATGGATGCTGCTGGGCCTGTTGAGTTTGGCCAGCAATTTCTGCTGTGTTTCTGATTTCCAACATCCATAGTTCTTTGATTCTTTTAAATTTTACAAACGTGGAGACTCATTCATTTCAGAACTTAATTTGTATTGCAGTATTTTTAAAAGAAGTTAAAATGAATCTTTTGCATTTCTAAGAGGAAAAAAAAACCTCACTCTCTGGAATTCCATCATTCATCTCATCCATTTTACACATTCTATATATTCTGTTAACAGAATGCTTCCCTTAGTCCAGGTTTTCAGATGACCACACAATTGGGTTACATTATGCCTAGGTCAGTGATGGTACAATGCAAGAGACAGAACCAACACTTCCCAACAAATGGCCACCTAAATGAAACAGTATGTTCCTCTGACTGCTCATAACAGGCATACCAGATCGTCTTCAGCCAACCCAGCTCGCAAAACGTCTGCTGTTAAGCACGATTCCGTGATTGTTTAGCAAGTGCTGTCCAATCTCAAGTACACTAACAGCTAGATTAACAGCCAATTTAAGATGACTGGTCAAGTTCATAGCATGGCTTATTCACACATGTAGGGACATTTACAGACAGGGACCCGTGCTCTGAAAGCAAAAGGAAACTTTTCAAGCCTTGTACTTTCTTTGAATTGTGGAGAATCAGGGGGAGCCAATCCCCATGGCAATGTCTTGGGCAATTAGAGCTGACTTGCCAACCAATCAGCATGCTTTTCAACTAACAGTGTTAATTGTTGCAGTCATTTGAAATTTGGAATTCTTGTGCTTGACCAGATGAGTACAAGCTCAACAACAACAAATCTCTCTTTGCAGCAATACTCAACTTCTGAGTGACTAAACAACTATTTGCATGACTCTGTTCAACTTTGTCATACTTCTTTATCCTTGAATTCTAAAATAAATCAAAGGGTTTCTGGCCTTTTTATGGTTTTATCAATCAGCACTCATGCTTTCAGGGGGCTAAAGAATTTAACTCAAAGGCTTTCTGAGCATCTGCACAATTTGGCAACATTCCAATGACTGGAGACTGCCATTTCTTCATTTTTTTTTCCCTTAAAATCCGTTATCTCCACATCAAACAGCTGATTCAAACAAAATTAATGCAATATCCTTAAACACGTATGTACTCTTGCATGAGCTAGGCAAAATGGCTTTGCAATGTAAACAATGCACATCACATGATAATGACTCACCTCCTGGCTATCCTTGCTCTGACTTGTCCCAAAAATCTTATGGTACAGGCTGTCTAGGGAGTTGCTGGAATCAGATCTGTCGAAGCAGTGACGATCCAGTACTTCCAACGTGTGCAAGACCTTACTGATTGTGAAACCTTTCATATGGGCAACAAGAAAGGTGGGAAAACATTGCATTAGACAATATCTGAGCAATGCTTACAATGGCAATTCTTCTAACATGTGCATCACATACAAGCAAATCCACGTACATGTCACTAGGTAGTTACCAGAATAGATACAATTATTTTACCTCATCCAATGCAATTAGTCATTTTTGTTATAAAAAAAAATTATGTTAAACCGTGCAAAGATTAATCAACCCGAGAGCTTGATCCCATTGATAGAGTCATTAACACTAAAGGAGTGGTCACCCCATAACATTCTCACACTTGCACGGCCTCTGTCTCTGGGGTGGGGTTATGTCAGTGAACCTGTAATTTGTTTGGCGGCAGTCAAATGTTAATTGAACCTTCTCTCCCTCTTTCCACAGTTACTGCTTACACTGCTGAGCATTTTCTGTTACAAGTTGAGATTTTCACCATCTGCAGTATTTTACATTTGCGCTGTAGCAATACTATTCCGTTCAGGGATTGAGTGCACTTGAAGCAAATGGGGGAGGTAATGGCCTAGTGGTTTTATCACTGGACTGTTAATCAAGAGCCTCAGGTAATATTCTGGGCACCCAGGTAAAATCCTGCGATAGTAGGTGGTGGAATGTGAATTTAATAGAAATGATGATGGAGTCTAATGATGACAATGAAACCATTGCTGCTCGTCAGAAAGTGCCACTTGGTTGAAAACACCATCTTTACCTAGTCTGGTCTACACTTGTCTCCAGACCAACAGCAATGTGGTTGACTCTTAACTGCCCTATGAATAATAAATGCTGATCCAGACAGTGACACCCACATCCCATGAGTGATTAAATTAAAGACTATGTATCCTCTTTACTGATTTGAGGTCACATAGCTTACTTACCCTTTACAAACATGACTCACATCACCTGATGTCACGCAATGGGTTTTTTCCTCCTGAAAATCTACTGTGTTCTGTCAACCCTCTACAAGTGTAACTCAAACAGCTCCAAAGCTGACATACACCTATTCACTTCAACAGATTTTTTCTCTGTCTTTCTATTGGTATATATTATCACAACAGGTAAGAAAACGGTACTGTAAAAGGCAAATACTGATAACCAAAGGCTGACTGGAAAGTATTAAATAAGTCTTTTTGGGATCAAATGGGTTGAATTAACAAGTCAACAGAGATGTTCATTAACAACCACAGAAAATTGCTGGAGAAAATCAGCAGCTCTGGCAACATCTGTGGAGAGGAACTGGGTTAGTGTTGAGTCTGGTATGACTCCCCCTGAACTGTCATTAACTTGGTGGTCTTTCAGTAGTCACTGTCAACCTCTTATATTAATTCAGCTTTCCCACATAACTAGGGTCAACCACCACCCAAACTGCCTTTCCATTTTGTGTTATCAATCCTTGATGGTTAAAACACTTTGATTTAAATATAAAATGAACAAAGGGGACAAGGAGATACTTTGTTTAAAACGTGAAATGGGGGCAGGTCAAAACGACAGTTTAACAGAGCAGATCAAAAAAAAAAGTGTACACATTCTGACAGGGTAAATGAGAAAAAACCGTACCCATGGGCAGGACGACTGGTGGAAACGAGCACAGGTTTCAGACAGTTTGGCAAGAAAGTCACTGCGGGGATGAGCATGTTCTCTGTTTAAAATGAGTGAGTTACAATCTGATAGGATGGTGGAAGCAGATTCAACAGTAACTTTCAAAAGGGAGCTGAATAAACACTTGAAAAGGGAGAGGTTTGCAAAGCTACGGGGAAAGAACACAGCTGTGGGGGTATGGTCTAGCTCTTCAAAACAGCTGGCCGCAAGAAGACCCATAGATTATAATGTCCAAACTACACTTCTGCTACGTTGTCTTTATACACGTATAAAATTTCGTTCCTATGTGTCATCTTCTGTTCCTTTATAGAGAGGGTCAGAATCATTGAATCCAGAGTGTGGAAGCAGGCCATTCGGCCCATCGGGTCCGTGCTGCCCCCTCCAAAGAGCATCCCACCTAGACTCACGTCCCCCCTACCCTATTCCTGTAACCCTGCATTTCCCATGGCTAATCTACCATATCCCCTGGATACTATGGGACAATTTAGCATGGCCAATCCAGCTAACCTGCACATCTTTGGACTGTGGGAGCAAACTGGAGCAAACCCACGCAGACACTGGGAGAATGTGCAAACTCCACATATACAGTCGACCGAGGGTGGAATTGAACCCTGGTCCCTGGCGCTGTGAGGCAGCAGTGCTAACCACTGAGCCACTGTGCTGCCCCAAATTATTACTTTTTACTTTTCTTGAAGTACAGGACCAAGCAAGACGTACCAAACAACTGCTATTTAAGCAAGTGCAGTGGTGAATTTCCCATTTACCTAGCGGAATACTAAAAGGGCAGTCAGAAAGTTTGGTGGCAATTTGATGGAGGTTCTGTGGTTTAGCAGCAAAATGGGACGGTTGTGGACATTCATCAGGGTTTTAGGGAGTCCACATCTGCAACATTATTCACAGATCCAGTCTCCTCTGTTTTAAAAAGTTTACATTAAAAAGATGGAGGCAAACAGCGAACATTTACTGAACTGCTCCCTGGGTATAGCGCTTTGCCTTTTGACAAAAGGCAAAGTAAACTGCGTCTACATTCTCTGGAGTTGAGAAAATGGGTAACAATCTGTCTGAAATTTATAGCAGCAGGTTGATGGATACAACGATTGATTACTTTTCAGGGTGGAAGCATATTTAGGATTGAGAGGAAAAGAATTTACTTCATTCAAAGTGTTGAGAGTCTTGGGAATTCCCTACCCCGGAGTGTTAAGGATGCTCTTTGTTGAATATATTGAATACTGGGATAAACAGGGAATCAAAAGGAATGGAGAGTGGGCAGCAAAGTGGAGTTGAAGCCCAAGGTCAGCCACGGTTATACCGGAAGTTGAAACAGGCGTGATGGGCCGAATGGTCTACTCCTGCTCTGATTACTTGTTTCTGGTGTCTTGGATAGTGGGGTTTTACAGCTTGGCAGCACAGATGTGTTAGTCTAGGGGTCGGATCCGAGGGTTACCTGGCTGAAAGCCTCTTGGGGTAAAATCATTAGACTACATTGCAGAACCTGGGATAACCAGCAGCGAGGGAGGGTCAGGCAAGGTAAGGAAGTATTGCTTCTTACATTGAGGTTTTAAACCGTTAAAAAGTGGTCCCTACCATTGACTGGCAGTGTTTTGATCCAAGGATCTAGTGCGATTAGAGACAGAATTTCAAATTCTACAGTACTGGGAGCAGAGGGAATCCATGGAGCAATGAATCCATAGACCACCAGGTGGGCTACGAGTGACCACTAATGCTCTTGGGTTCCTAATAACCTCAATCTCCCTCTGCAGCCTGCCACGGTCAGATCTAGAAGTCATTTGGTCTCGCCACTGCAAGGCTGAAACTAGAGGATAAACCAGGTGCTACCAAAGAGACAAAACTGGTTTGAGAAAATAAAAAGGCAGGGTGGGAGTGCATCTTGTAACATTTTGAACTAAAATAATTTGCCACTTCTCCACTGATTCATTGTTCCATTCCGAGAATTGCATTCACCAACGCCACAAAAAAAGTTGAAAGATTGCAAATATATTCGCTTATCTAAGCTGAGATGGCTAGTTTCAACCAGTTTGGTATTAAGATGCAAGGAGGATGGACGAACAGGTTAACTACAGCTTCCACTTTTAATCAACTACTCAAGTGATATTTACAAAAATAAAAAAAAAAGAGGTAAGATGCATCTCTAGACAGGATAATGACTCAAATGCTTGTTTGTTTCGCTCGGTGCAATGTCGGCATACCAGGTCAGACTGGCATTTGCAGCCCTCCCCTCGTTTCCTGAGAAGGCCTTCTTCAGGAAAGTGCAATACAGAGAACTCAATATCTCAGAAATTTCAGAGTGAAAATACAATCACAATAATGTGTAATGGAGTCACATATTCCCCTGACTGGGGAAGACAGTGGCATGGTGGCAAAATCACTGAACTAGAAATCCTGAGGCTAGACAAAAGGTTTAAATCCCACCCTGGCTACTGACAGAATTTAAATGTGATTAAAAAACGTGGAACGCAAAGCTAGTCTCAGGTAATAGGGACCATAACAGTGTTCATTGATCCTCAACAAAAACTACCTGAACCATTAATGTGCTTTAGAGAAGGAAACCTGCTGCTTTTACCTGGTCTGGCCTACTTCAATCATAGAATCCCTACAGTGTGGAAACGGGCCCTTTGGCCCAACAAGTCTACACCGACCCTCAGAGCATCCCACCCAGACCCATCACCCCTATAACCCACCTAATCTACACATCCTTGGACACTATCAGCAATTTAGCATGGCCAATCCACCTAGCCTGCACATCTTTGGACCATGGGAAGAAACGCATGCAGACACGGGGAGAATGTGCAAACTCCACACAGACAGTCACCCCAGGGTGGAATCGAACCCGGGGTCGCTGGCACTGAGGCAGCAGTGCTAACCACTAAGCCACCGTGCTGTGTGCAAATTGATGACGTGCAGACGTTCACATTGGTCGGGGCTTCTTCACCATCCCCAGCCAACTCCTGTGCCTGATGCCACATGACAACAAACCAACAGCAATGTGACGCACTCTCAACGGCCCTCTGAAGAGAGTCACTCAGCTCAAGGGCAATCAGGGATGGGCAACAAATGCTGATTTTGCCAGTGACACACCACATCCTGCGAAAGAATAATGTAAAGCCCAAGGAGAGCAGACATCACTGCTTTATGTCATGGCTGAGTGGTTAAGGTATTGGATTAGATAATCTGTTGCGGATCCCCCATGTAAGTTCAAACCCTGCTCACTACAGTTCCTCATGGTGCAGTTTTTGGGCAAAACGGTGGCTCAGTAGTTAACACTGCTGCCTCAGCACTAGCATCCCAGTTTAATTCCAGCCTCGGGTGACTGTCTGTGTGGAGTTTGCACGTTCTCCCAGTGCCTGCGTGGGTTTCCTCCAGGCGCTCCGGTTTCAA